ATTAGCCCTTTTCACTCCCCCCCCCATTACTTCCTCCCCCACCTGTCTGGCTTAACTTCAGGCACGCGTGCTAGGGACTTTTAGGCCTATATATCAACCAAACAAAAAAAAAGTAAAAGAGAAAAAGAGAAAAAAAAAGAAATGAATCGTATTAATTTCACTCGTCTGGTAATCCACCTCAGAGATTTTTTTTTACGACCCACGTAATCCACTTAAGAAATTCGAAAATCCACCCAAGAGACTACCTTAATCCAAAGGGGGGGGGGGTTACTATATCCACTCGACCAGCCATAAAATCCACTTCAGGAGGATTTTAGGATTCAAGTCTGTGGATCTCGTCAGCCACAAGGACACGCTTCGTTATCCACTTCCCGGTCGCATAATCCACCTTATAGGCCTATTCCACCTGGCGACTGTTTTATAGACCTCGTGATCTGCCTCAAGCCTTTGTGTGTGTGGGGGGGGGGGGGGGGAAGATGAGAGAGGGAGAAGGGGAGAGAGGGAGGACAGGTGGAGATAGGGAGAAGGGGAGAGGAAAGAGAAGATGAGAGAGGAAGGAAAAGATGAGAGAGGGAGAAGGGGAGAGAGGGAGGACAGGTGGAGATAGGGAGAAGGGGAGAGGAAAGAGAAGATGAGAGAGGAAGGAAAAGATGAGAGAGGGAGAAGGGGAGGAGATAGGGAGGAGAAGAGGAGACAGAGAGAGAGGGGATGGAAAGAGAGTGGAGGGGATAAGGAGAGGGAGAAGGGGAGACGGAGGAGAGGAGGAGATAGGGAGGAGAGGTGGAGATAGGGTACGAAGAGATGGAAAAGAATGGAGAAGATGAGAGAGGAAGAAGGGGAGAGGGGGGAGAGCTTGAGACAGGGGTTGAGGGAATGGAAAAAGAGTGGAGAGGATAAGGAAAGAGAGGGGAGGAAGAGACAGTGAGAGAAGGAATTGAAGTAGAGAGGGGGTGGAAATGGAGGGTGGAAGCAGAGGTGGAGAAGAAGGAGAGGGAGAGAGGAAGGAATGGAACAGAGGAAGCAAAGGGGTAGAGGAGAAAGATGGAGAGAAGGGGCAAAAATAAGGAAGAGGGAGGAATACATACATACATACATACACACACATTCATATATATATATATATATATATATATATATATATATATATATATATATATATATATATACACACACACACACACACACACACACACACACACACACACACACACACACACACACACACATATATATATATATATATATATATATATATATATATATATATATATATATATATATATATATGTATATATATATATATATATATATATATATATATATATATATATATATATATATATATATATATATATATATATATAATGAGAGAGCAGAGAGAGAAATGGGAATCTTAAAGCGCGAGTACAGACGGAGAAAGAGAAAGGGAGGAGCGAAACAAAAGAAAAACAGCCAAATACTAAACAAAGCAAACAAACAAAGGAAAGGCAGAGATCCCGAGAGGCGAGAAATTAACCAGCGCGCGCGTGATGCTAATAGCCCCCCCCTCCCTCTCCCTCCCTCTCCCTCCCCCTCCCTCTTCCTCTCCCTCCCTCTCCCTTCCCCTTCTCCTTCCTCCCTCGCCCTCCCCCTTTCTCCCCGTCCCCCTCCCCTTCCTCCCCACGTGACCCACTCCCGTCGCTAACTTCTCTCCTTCCCTTCATCATCTCGTCTCACTTACCTCCTCTCTTTCTTCATCGCCTCTCTCTCTATTTCTCCGTTACTCTCTCTCCCTCTCTCCTTCTCCGTCCTTTCCTCTCCTCATCCTTTGCTATCCCTTCCTCCCTTCCTCCCTCCATTCTTCCCCCCCCCCCCAGCCCTTTCCTCTGCCCCCCCCCCCCGCCCCTTCTCCTCTCATTCTCACCCCTCCCCCTCTCCCTCCCTCCCTCCTCCCCCTCCCCTCCCCTTCCTCTGCTCACCCCCCTCAACCCCCACCCCCCACCCCCCGTCCCATCTAATTCTCAGCGGCAAGTCATTAGAGCTCATTACGTAACGTCGGTCTAGGTGGCCGGAGGGAGGGGGGGGGGGGGGAGGGGAGGGGGGGAGGGAGGGAGGGGAGGGAGATAGGAGGGAGGGGGGAGAAGAAGAAGGGGATGGGGGAGGGAAGGAGGGAGGGGGATTGGGAGGGGGGAGGGGAGAGAAGAAGGGAAAGAAGGGAGGGGAGAAAAGAAGAAGGGGAATTGGGGAGAGGAAGGGGAAGGGGAGGAGGGAGGGAGTTGGAATGTGGGGGAAGAAGGGAGAGGGGAGGCAGGCATGGGAAGAGGAGGGAGGGGAGAGAGGAAGGGGAGGGGGGAGGGGGGAGGGGAAGGAAGAGAGGTAAGGGATTTAAAGAGATAAATAAGGGCTTCCGAAAAGTAAATGAAAGAATATAAAAAAGGAGAGAAAGAAAGAGAGAGAGAAAAAAAATAAAAATAAAAGGAAAAAACGAAGCACAGAAAACACAAAGAAATAGAAGATAAGAAAAAAAAACGCGAAGGAAGACATGAAGACAGTAGGTAAGAGAGATGACTTAGGGGGGGAGGGGGTAAAGGGAGGGA